AGAGTGGCCGCATGGCACCTGCCCGCTCTTTCAGTACTCTCGGATGCATCCCAGCTGGTACCATTGACCTATGCATGTCTAATGTACTTGAGTGGTCCCTAATTCTGTCTTCCACTACTGTGGGTACTGCTTCACTCCTACAGACTCTGCTAGGAGGCTTGGGGACCTGGGAGGCCTGAGGGCAAATCTCACCAGTGGTAAGTGAGCTTTGACTTTTGTAACTCCCTTCCTAGAAGTGTGGGCAATGTCTTTGTAAACTCTCAAGTAATCTGCCCTTGCTTCTCCCTTCTTTGTGTTAGGTAAAGCCAAATCTGATAGCCCAACAGAGACGAGGCTGCTGTAACTCCATGCCCCCAGGTCCAACCAGTAGTGAGGCTGAGCATGTATTCCACATAGGCACACAGACAAGTATAAAACGCGAGTGTAACTAACACACGGCCAGCCACGCAGATCAACACAGATGGAAACACTCCACTCACACAAAACCAAGCAGCACCAATGGCCTCTTCCTATTTCTGTCATTGGCTGATCAGGATGAAGAATTGTTAGCAGGAAGCACATAGATGTATGCTGGCAGATGGGCACAGATCTGCAGCGGACACCAGGATGTCAGTCTCCTCAGCTGCCAGCACATGGGCACACGAACCCTCAAGGCTGCAGACCCACACAAGGTGAAGAAAGGCAGGAAAGAAAGGAAAGGGGGGGAAAGGGCCAGCTGAGTGCTCCGACAGACTACCAACTAGGACTGGGTGGAGCGTGGCTTGTTTATTTAAAACAAAACCCACAAGTACTCAGGAAGAGACAGACTGGACCCAGCCTGTGTTCTCCCAGCGCAGCCAAGTCCTTGTCTACCTGAAAAGAAAGGAAAGGGGGAGAAAGAAAGGAAAGGGGGAGAAAGGAAACTGAGGACAGAGGGAAATAAGGAAGGGAGAAAGGGGGAAGGAAAGAAGGAAAGCCGGAAGGTGAGAGGAAGGGAAGATGGATGGAATGAAAGGAAGGAAGAAAGGTAGAAGGCGGCAGGCAGGAGAGAAGGAATTAAGGAAGGAAAGCAGACAGGTAGTGAGAAAGGCAGGCAGGAAGGTGGCAAAGGAAGGCAAGCGAGAAGGAAGGAGAGCAGTTCAGGCAGGTAGTGAGACAGGCAGGTAGAGAGGAAGGCAAGAAGGATTAAGGAAGGAAGGTAGAAAGGAAGTATTGAGGAAAGTAGTGAGAGAAGGAAGATGGTAATTAAGGAAAAAACTCAGGAAGGCAGGGAAATGGGCAAGAAGGAATAGAGGAAAGCAGAAAGTCAAGAAGGCACGAGGGCAGAAAAAGGGAATTGAAGTATGTAAGTACATAAAGTGAGGACAGAGGGCAATAAAGAAAGGAGGAAGTAGGAAGGAAAGTAGAAAGAAGTAAAGGGAGGAAGGGAGGGAGAGGAAGGAATGCAAAAGAAGGAAGGAATGTGAAAGAAGGATGAAAGGTGGGCAGGTAGCATATCTGTAGATATTGTACATATCTTTGTAAGTTATGTGCAAACTCATTTGAATGTAAATAAATTACATTTATGGGTTGTCATGATCTAGGGAGATGGATGCTCATCAGAAGTAATGGAGGTAAAAGGGATAGTAGGTAGGGAGTAAGAGGGAACTTGGTAATCACGCTGCATAATCTTATCTGCCAACAAAATCAACCAGCTTTACCTAGGTGGACAGGCCACCTTACTTCGGCCAGAAAAGGAATGTGTAATTTAGGTATGTGATAATAAATAGCCAAATGCCTCATCATCCAGTTAGTGATGTGCATGAATGGATGAATGAGATTCCCACTGTCCCTACTTACTGTCCAGTGAAACCACAGCCAAGAGAACAGACTTGGTGGAACCAGCTGGGAAAGACGACCCTGTTGAGCATCACTCTAATCCAGTGCTGTGAAGAGACATCAGAGCTGTAGAATAAATGAGAAGCCCCACGGTTGTGCAGCTCAGGCCATAGTCCAGTTGCCAGTGAAATACTGCTGATCATTTTTTCCACTTACCCAGTGAGGTGTATGTGGAGGGGTAAGCCCCAAAGGGCTCTCACTTCTGATGCCAAGTGCCCAGCATGAGCTGCTCTGGTGACAGTGTCAGGTGGGGAGTTTGACTGGGGCAGTACGGCTGTCAAACCATAACACAGGTGTCCTAAGGTGAGCTCAGGGAGGACAGAAACATCCTGCGGTGCAGAAGATCAAGGCTTGATCTTGATTTTCAGTACGAGTATCGCCCATGAAAGCAGGGCCTCACCATCCTTCTGACTTTTTGGGTTTTAAGCAGGCATTCAGGCGACAGTGGATGAGGAACACCAGGCATGAGTCTCCATGTATGGAACTTGGGCATCTAGGATGTTCTGCTCTGTCCCCCAAGAACCTGGGGAATTCAGGCTGTTCCTGCAAGGACTGGTCACACTGGGGAAGATGAGGCTGGCTGGGCAACCCCACCACATCTCTCCCCTAGTGGCCCCTGAGGAGAAGGCCCAGAGAGGTCTCACCCTCCAGCTGTGGGGCAGGGAACCCATTTTCCATAGGGGGAGCAGGGCTGGGACTTCCACCATGACAGACCCTGCAGGGCTAGGAGCAAGGGTGTGGAGGGGAGTGGAAAAATCAGTCCTCTCTCCCTGGTCTGCCCCTGGCAGTTGTCCCCTGCCCAGCATCCCCTTAACAGCCCCACATCCCTCCCAGATGATACCCAAGGCCTGAGAAGAGCCATGTATCTCCAAAACAATCCCACAAACCTCCACATCACCCCTCAAGCCCCAATAGCAGTCCCACATCTGCCTTCTGCTGGGCACCAGATGTTACCACCTTCATCAACATGCAGGCATTCTGTCTTGCACCTGCTCCCAGAAACACCAGCCCCATCTCTCTGTGTGGGCTGGTGCCCTGCCCGCTTTCCCATCCCTCCCCATACCTCTTACTGTTCCCTGAACTGCCCAGGAAGGAAAAGCCTCTTTGCAGGGCAGACTGCATGGGTGAGGATCCCAAACCCACACCGATTCAGTAATAACTCCTGGGATGAGCACATCCAGGTCACATCCTCCTCACTCAAGAATGTCCTGCTCTCCCTTCAGACCCATGTTCCCCAGAGACAACAAGGAGGCTTGTGCTAGAAGAAAACTGTTTCATTTTTCAACAGAACTTTTTTCAACCCTTGTTTCTCAGGGTTTTCTTTTTTGCAAAGATAAAGTATTATCTGAACAACCTCTGCATATATATATATATATATCTCATAAGTGTGTGTGTCTGTGTGTGTGCGTGCATACATTTATACACTTAAAAACAGTCCCGCAAACTTGTGCCGCTCATAGCAGCCCATCCTGCTTCACAGCAGAGAAGACAGCAACTTCAACAAACAGCAAAAAAGCTGCCCCCCTCAACTAGAGGAATGCACTGAACCACATCCATCTGGAGGGAATCCCACCAGCTCCAGATGGGAGGCTTTGACTTCAGTGTAAACACATCGCTTTACAGTATTTCTAGACCCTGGCTGGATTAGACAGTGCCATGCTAGGACACATGCCACACTCACCTGTGCCCAGTCCATGGGGAGAGCACGCCCAAGGACGCTGAACAGTCCTTTAACAGGTGGCAAGCAGTGCTCACTTTGCAGCTGGACTGGGACTTTCTAACTCAATTAGATACCTACAGGCAGAAATGGAGACAAGGGAGAAAGGCAAGGAGATGTCTTTCTGAGAGGTGGCCACAGTAACACAGCCCATCTGTCCAGAGCAATGTTTCTACATATTTAAAGGGGAGTCACCGAGCAAGTAGCCCCCAGAGGAAATGTCTCTTCGTTCTGCCTGAGAGCTCCTCACTGTCTTTGAGGAAAGACACCGATACAAACTGATTGAGACAGAGTAGAGGCAGAGGTCCAGGCTGGCAGGCTGGGTGACAGCCCAATTCTAGTCATAGGCATCATCATCATCAAAGTAGGAATCACAATCAAGGTTATCTGACTCATCACCTAACAGAAAGTTGTCTTCATCAAGGTCGTCATCGTCATCATAGTCTTCCTGCCACTGTGGTTCATACTCCTCATCTTCAACCTCTTCGCCACCTTCATCTGTGTTGGGGGAGTCGCACAAGATGGTACGTTTTGCCCTGTGAGGAGGAGAGCATCAGAGATGAGCCCCAGCTGCGAGCAGCAACACCAACCCAGACCCACACCACCCTCATCCTCCCTTCTACCATCACCTCAGCACTCCCATCCAAAGCCATGCCTCAGGGACACAGCAGCCATGCAGGTGCACCTAGGAGAAGGTGATTAAATGGCCTTATCCATGCATGCAGCACAGGGCTGTGTCAGACAGACACCTGTGTGACCAGACCAACAAGGTGCAGTCTGCCACCAGCAGTGTCTCAGCCTTATACCAAGGAGACCAGAAACCCTGCTCTGAAACAGAGTGTCTCTCGACTCAGTTGTCATTCTTTCTTGCAACACTCAGCACCCTGTTCAGCTCCTGGAAACACAGCAGCTGTCAGAGGGGACTGGTCACACTGGGATAGCAGATGCCAGTTGTGTTTCTTGGTTCAAACAGCGTGTCCTACAGGAATGGACTTTCTTTTGAACTCATCACCTTCCAATCACACTTACCTGCCAGCTCAGTACTCTAGGACAGGGAAACAACAAACCATCCATTTCACCTCTCAACACACTATTTCACAGCTCTATCACCTCTTCTCCATTCCCTTCCTAAAATAAATGTCAGGTCCTTCCATCTCCCCCCATGTATGTTCTTATTCTTGCTTCTCTGATCTAGACACCTCCGAGATCTCTGATACACCTCTGAAGAAAGAGTGCGACTCTCCACAGAAACCCAAGAGAGTCCAGGGAGAGAAACTTCCATAACTGGGTCTGCCAGTGATGTAGCTTTCTTGACCATAGCTGCATACCAAGCAGAGGTTTTGCTGGTCTCCCTGCACCACTATGTCACTTACATTGTTATCTCAAGCCACAACACAGAATGCAAGTAATCAGTATCTGTTATTAACTCTTTTGTATGTCAGTGAGCACAGAAGAAAACTCTGGTCACCTGCTTTTTGTCTGCACTCACCCACCTTTCCTTGTTACCCAGCTAAGAAAACTCACCCTATACAGGCAGGGGCTGAAGTAGGCACATTTGAGAGTTTCACCTTTCTCTGACCAGGATCTGCCAAAGTCTGGAGCCCAACATGGAAATCCTGCTAGCATGGAAGAACAGCCAGAAGAGAGACAATATGTGATTTGGGCTGTATTTTGTGCTGCAAACCCCTTCCCTACATACACAGAGCACAGAGTCTAGCCCCTCAGCTGATCAAGCCCCTTTCTAGGTTTGCCCAAGATCAAACTAGACCAGAGCAAGACAAGCCACTAATGGGCATGTGGACTTCACCTGTGTGGAGTGCCAGAGAATTGCAAAGAGACGCTTCTTGATCTGGTGTACCAACTCCAAACCAGCACTGAAATGCTCTGCTTTCAGGAGCTGAAGAGAAGCGGCCAGGTCCTGGTACTGCAGCAGGGTTTCCTCTGCAATTCAAGGCCAACAAAGTCACACTGCTTCCCACACTCTTAAGCAGAGACCGAATCCCTTGGCTCTGATTATGAAGCCAGTCACAGCTACTTAGGTCTCCTGTACACATACATTCCTGTTTCAGAAGGGAACATGTTGCTCCTTACTGCATCAGTCTCCACCAGCAGCCAAATGGCTTCAGTCGACTTCCCAGAAATTACATCAAGAAGGCAAAAATGGGCTGGGAGAAGTGGGGAGACCAGCTGGGTGCTGGAGTGTATGCTATTGCCCCACTACAGAGCTGCCACCCTTTGAACCACATAGCTCACAATGCTAGTCTCTACCTTGGAGAGGCTGCGGGACTTACCCAGAAGGATCTGCAGAGCATTAGTGTGCAGCTCTAGGCTCTCGGTCTGCTGTTCCACAATATCCATGCTCTCAGTGTCCTGGTTATAGTAGCTGTACACACAGGAGTAGGCCAGCACCTGGAGCAGTACAGATGATGCTGTAAGCATTCTCCTTCAACTTCAGAGCGGGCAAGAAGAGAGTAGCATCAAACCCCTCCAGACTTCATTACGTATCAGTGGTTGAGAGAAGCCCGGCAGCACTTCTGGTCTGTGGCAATAGCCCAGTGAACCACTATGCCAAGTGACAGCAGTGCCAGGCTACCTAGAGCTACTCATAGGATTAGAAATGAATGTCTAATTATTTTGTACTGAAATCTGAAATAACTGATTGTTCCCACCTGCAAACCATCACAAGATCACAGACTGTAAATGCACAACAAGTGTGACTGACCAGCAGGCAGAGAGTCAAAGCAACCAGCACACAGAATCTACACATTGCTGGGCAGCCCAGGCTGAACTCATGTGGCAACGAACTGAGAGAACTGAGCCCCAAGGGAAGCAGGCATGGTGCTATACAGCACCAAAAGCCCACGACAAAGGCATTTCAACAAGTGACAAACCCCTGTTATGAATGAATGACCCCTAAAGCCACCCAGGTACCCAGCAGGAAACAAGACCACTGTCTCTATTTAAAGAACTGGGCCAGAAAAGCCAGCAGCAGCAAACAAGCATGATATGTATCCTGGCAAACACAGGGGCTACCATATTGAAAAGACAAAACAGGGTCAGACACCCTTATTCCACATGCCTCTCTCAAAATCAAGTCTGCCTGCACAAACAAGGTATATATTGCAAAGGCAATACTGCAAAGGCAATTCCCACCTCCTTGCTATGTTTCAGGAGACAGAAGACATTGCAGGCCTATGCTGTCACAGGCTTACTGCACATCCAGTGGCTGCACTGCAAATCCTTCATAATGCAGCTATCAGGGCATGCAGTAGGTAACTCAGTGCTCCCAAAATACCCACGGCTCATGAAATAAAGTTAAGAAAGGAAAAATGTAACAGGAGCATCACAAGGGACTTCCTAACACAGCATCAGGAGAGCTTTCAAAAGGTAAGTACCACCACTGAGTCATTTCAAATTGGAATGGACAAAACCCAGTATATGAAACGCTAAATATAGATCCTTGTGCTGATTCCATGGTGTCAGCTTGAGCTAAGCTCCAAATCCTATGACCTGACTGTGAGGAACACTGCAGATAGAGCCCAACTCAGAGCGAGAGCAGGGAAAGGCAGACATGAGCTCTTCCCGTGTCCTGATGCTATTCCTCCCCGCAAGCTTTTTCTGCCTCCCCTTGTTTGGAGTAGAGCAAGGTTGGTGTCTCCTCACTTTAAGAAAGGCATAAAACACACCGACAGAATTAGGCCTAAACATCAGCAAGCCTGTTATCCAGCCTTACCTTCCGTGCCTGTTCTAGCACTTTGCAGGCATCAAGAACAAAGGTCAAAGTCCTAATTTTTGGCATCTCACTGATGGAAGAAACCCTGTTCCTCAGGCTCATGGCAAATTCCTGCAATAACCACAGGAGGGGGAAAAAAAAGTTTATGTCAAGCTCCACAAGATCAAAAAAATAGCACCTTCCACACATATAATTGCTAAGCATCCTGAAGTGCCATCCCAGAAGATGCAGGCAGCAGGAGAGCATTTATTGCATCCAACTATGACATCTCTACTGTGCTATCAGTTCAACCTTTTACAGTATCTCAGCTCTAGACAGAGTTCAGCCTTCACTCGCCATTGCTTCCAAGTACTGCATCAGTTTGAGCACGTGACCTATAAATTAGGTGTTCAGTTTCCACAACAGACTTGGTAGAAGAAAGCAGGCCAAGAACTACCTGTTACGTCAGAGCAAGGGTGAAATGACCAGGCATCCCCACCTGGATCTGAAGCCTGCTCTCAGCTTCAGGTGAAATACACTGAGACACAACAGAAACTGTCCTGCTCACCAGGGCTAAGGCAACAGAGTCAGCATCTGCAAAGGAAGGAGGAGGCCTTACCCTTGCGTGATGATGAAAGGTGCATCTCTCATTGTAATCCTGAAAACGCTTCTCCTGCCAAGCTGCTTTACTCACCTGAAAGGAAAGGTAGAAGTAACCTGTAGCAATTCCCCTCAAGTACCAGGGTTGCCTGGAAATGGCTACCACACATACAGACTTTGACAATACCATCAATACTACTGGCAAGTGCACCAAGTCCAGAGTACAAGGCACAAGCGGAGATCTGAGAGGCCAGGTGCATCTGAACACAAGCATGAACCACTGGGATATAGCAAACCACTCACCATAACAGAGCAGTTGTAATAATCCTTATGAGTCGGCCTCCAGGGCTTGAGGCAACGCCAACAGAAGCCATGATTACACTTTGCACATGTCATACTGCATGGTAGGAGAAGAAAAAAATGGGAATCACTCAGTCCTAACAGCCACTTGCACACTGTTTCTCCCAGTGCTCCCCTACACCACAGGGCTGGAGTGTGCAACCCAGTCACTCCCATTCACTCAGCAGTATGCATTTCCCTGCATGTATTTTTTAAAGCCTTTGCTGGATGCAGATGATGCTTAAAACCAGTCATTGTGTCTCCAAAAATGAGCTGGGTAAATTGGCAGCATGATCTCACAGTACCAACTTACCAAGTACTTGAAGGGTGAACACTAAGCATTCCATACTTTGAAGCAAGATCCACATGAGCACCTCCCCTCTTCCCTCAGTAATGCAGTACTCCACAGTGCAGAAAGGCACTGCACAGCCCTAGGGCCACACACAACATGTGGGGACAAATCATAGCTGCGCACTAAGGGCCACCAGTGCAAGAAAGAAACAAATGGCGACTCCTAAGCCCTGCCTTCAAAGCTGGAGGTAACTCCCCTATCGTGTAAAAAGCTGCCAGAGATCCGAGCCAATCTAAAAGAGGCAGTTAAAAGAAAATTGCTTAAAGTTACAGGAGTAGGTGAGAAGGAAAAAAAAAATGGTGCCGAGATATCCACTCCCCTAACCTGTACCTCTGTATGCCTATAGCAGATTCTGAGAGCAGACAAGTGTGCGCTGTGAAAAGGTACTGCAGAGTTGTGGTTCTACTGCAGAGCTATCAATAGATTTAACTCTGAATGCTGGGGAATATTTTGCTTTTCCTAGGAATTAAAAGCAATTATTCATTCCTCTAAAACTATAAAACAGACCTGCTATAACTCTTACTCCACAGCCAAAAAAAAACAGCACAGTGGACCTAACCGTATGTCTTTGCCCTCTCCTGTCTCCAGTAGCAAACAAAAAGGGATACTCACTGCAGGCACCCCTCATTTTTCTCTATCTGAGCCTGGCAGCTTGGGCAGTGCTTCGAAATGAGCTTAGCCAGATGTTTGCTTTGGGCTTCACTTGTCATTCCTTCATAGTACCCATCGTCATCCACCCACTGAGACATGTGGCTGCAGCTGGCAGGATAATGGGCCTGAAAGAGAGAGTCAGCCACACAAAAGCAGAATGCCGTGTGCCAAACCCAAGACAGTATTGCCTGTGATTCAGCTCAGTCTCACCTCTGGGAAGTTGCAGTTGAAGCAGGATATCCAGGAGCACTTGGAACAGGCTGCCCCATAACCAAGTCCATCCTTAAGGAGGATCTGATCACAGCCCTGAGGGTTGGTGCACCATGTCAGGTTGGAGCAACACTCAACATAGCCTCTGAGGAGAGCTTTTTCATACTGTAATAAGCAGCCAGGAAAGAGATTTAAGGCAGCGAAGCTGCATGGTTAGGCCTAACAACTGGGGTCTGGTGCCTCTGGGCTCTACGTCTGACTGAACTGCTCACAACAAAACAGCACTAAGTTAGTATACTCTTTCATTCCCTTTGTGTAAATTCCCCCCCTCCTCGTGTCATAGCTGGAGACCGTTTCATATAATCACAGAATAGCTGAGGTTAGAAGGCACTTCTGGAGATAAAAACAAGTCCAAACCCTCCAGCTCAAAGCAGGGTTGCTCAGGACCATGTCCAGTTGGGTTTTGCGCACACCCAAGGACAGAGAATACAAGCCTCTCTGCCCAACCTGTTCCAATGTCCCATTACCCTTACTGTTAAAAAAAAAAAGTTTTCTTATGTTTACATGGAATTCCTTATATTTAAATTAGTGCCCACTGCCTCTTATCCTTTCACTGGATATCACCAAGAAGAATCTGGCTCCTTAATCCCATTTGTGTATTTACACATGTCCACCCCTGAGCCTTCTCCTCTCCAGGCTAAACAAACCCAGCTCTCTCAGCTTCTCCTAGAGGTGTTCCAAAACCTAAATCATCTTTGTGGCCTTTTGCTGGATTCTCCCTAGTACGTCCATGTCCTTCTCGTACCAGTGAGCCCAGAAATGGACACAGTACTCCAGATGTGGTCTCACCAGCACTGGATAGAGCGGAAGGATCACCTTCCTCAGCCTGCTGTCAATGCTCTTCCTAACTCAACCTAAGATGCTAGTGGACCTTCTTAGCCACAGGGGCACGTTGCTGGCTTATGTTCAATTTGTTGTCCACCATGATCCCTTTTTTTTTTTTCCCTGCAGGGCTGCTTTCCAGATGGTTGGCCCCTGGCACATACTGTTGCATTGGGTTATTCCACCCCAGGAGCAGGACTTGGCATTTCCTTTTGTTGAACTTAATGATATTCTTGTTTGCTAAGTTCTCTAGTCTGTTGAGGTCCCTCTGAATGGCAGCACAACCATCTGGAGCCTCAACCAGTCCTCCTAGCTGTTCATCATCTATAAATTTGCTGAGGGTGCACTTGGTCCCATCATCCAGGTCATCAGTGAAGATGTTAAACAACGTTAACCTCAGTATCAACTAAGGTTACACCTTAAGTGGCTGGCCTCCAGCTGAGCTTTCTGCCATTCATCATAACCCTTTGAACTCAGCAGGCCATCTCACCGTCCACGCATCCAGCTTGCACTTCATCAGTTTTTTTCTAAGAGGATGTTGTGGATGATGGTGTAGAAAGCCTTACTAAAGCTGAGATAAACAATTCCTCCCCTCATTCACCAAGCCAATCATCTCACCACAGAAAGCTATCAGGTGCTCTTTTTAACAACTTCTATTTTTAAGTTTCTCAGACTTTTCCTTAGTTACATGATGTGCAAAGGGGAAGGAGACTCGCTTTGCCCACAGCCTCTACACGTTACTGCAGAGGACAAGGCAAATTGGTTATCAGTAAGAGACTGTTCAGGTAGGGACCCAGGGATGCAACTACACTGCACATAGTAGCTTAGTTTTCTGTGCTCAGTTACTACAGTGTAAGGACTGTGCGAACATACACAAAGCTAGAGGATGTTCAGAAGAAATCCTGTAGCCTTCACAGCCCTCCTGCACAGATTTTTGCATACCTGGAGAATTGCTCTAAAGCCACCAGGCACAGAAAAGACAATACACGTCACAACAAGCACTAGAGAGAAAAGGTGCAAGCCCTGAGCACTGAAGGGCTCAGACAGGGCTCTCATTCATTTCTCTCTCTTTGTTATTCTCTCTTGTTCATTCTCTTCCTCAGGCAACCTAAACCAGAGAGTTGTGCACTGACTGGATGCAAGGATGTCAGCCTGCGTCATGGCAAAATGCCTGGTGGAGGCAAAGTCTCAACAAAGCCACTTCATTCTTCTCAAAGAGAGTCAACATCTGTGTCTGTTGTCATCCTGTTGATAAGCGATGTGATCATTTTTACCCAGACACCAGTACCCAGAGAGATAAATGGGTACTTGAGTCAGCACACAGCACCAAATCACAGCCTTCACAGAGGCTGAATTTCATAACTTCTGATGTTTGGAGTTTTCTTGGTGAGGAGGAGACAGAGATGCAACTGCTGAAGAGGATCTAGGATTCCTACTGGAACCGTAAGAGAAAGAGCTGCTCTCAGGAAGCCTAAAAGGAGAGGGAACAAGTGTCCAGTGAAGGTCTGGGAAGAAAGCTAGCCATGTACAATCAAGAAGTTGCCAAGTACCGCATGACACTGACCAACAGATCTCAGAGGAACCTTTACACACGCTGGAGTTAATCCAGGTATGGAGCCTATGGCATGATTCCCAGCAGAGAATCCCTGGGGGCAGGATGGAAGACCACCTCTGAAGAACAGGCTCTCAAGGAACTTGAGAGAAACAAGGCTGAGAGAAAACCTCTTTCAGAAACATGACAGGGTGTATGTTTTTTAGAAATACAAGCATGAAAAGTTTAAACTCAAATAATCTTTTATATTAGCAAAAGTGCAGCCAGCAGGCAAGGGAAGGGATTTCTCACAGCTATGTGGCACTGCTGACACAACTGGATACCGGGAGCAGTTTGGGCTCCCAAGTACAAGAAAGACTTCAACAGACTAGAGAAAATGTTGTACATAGGCCACCAAGACAGTCAGGGGCTGGAGCACAGAATGTAGGAGGGGACGTTGAGAGAGCTGGGTTTGTTCAGCATGGGGAGAAGGCAGCAGAGGGGGAATCTTACCACTGCCTAGAGCTACCTAAATGTACCTAAATGTAAGATGCAGAGAAGACTGAACCTGGAGCAGTATGTTTTAACTTCAGCATTAGATCTTCACAAAATAATCTGGCTATTTTGAGCACAGGGTTGGACCAGAGATCTCCACAGATTATTGCAAGCTAAATTATTCTATGACCATATGTGTGACACTGCACGAGGCGTTAACGCTCCAGCCATACCACTTACTGAGCAAAAAGGGAAACAGGTAACATTTCAGTGAGAGCATCAGAGCAACTTGTTAAAATTGGCTGCAATTTATGTTGACCTGCAGTAATGTTCTTTTTTAATAAAATAGCTATAGCAATAGGATATTAAATCCTGCTCTCAGACAGGTGTGACTACAGGATTTGCAAAGCCAGTAAGAACTGCCCAGATACATGCACTAATTCTCCAAGCACTTCTTGTAGAAAACAAGATAGAAAAGATACATGGAAATGCTTTTCTGTAGCCTTGCCCATTTCAGTTGCCAGTTTTCAAGCTTAAAGAAAATTTATAAGGTAGAGCAGTTTTTACATCTACTGTTCACTTCTCTTTATGACTGTTCACACAAGATCATAATGACAGTAACAAGCTGGAAGAGAAGGAGAATATTTCTGGAGAAGCAATTGTTGGCAGAGACCTGTCAAACAACAGAGCAGTGGAAAACAGACGAGACACCTGTTCTGTCCAACAGTTAACAAAAAGAGTCTGCCATGTGACAGCCACAGCTCTGCCACTAGGTGGGGAGGACATTCAGCTCTAATTAATAACTAAAAACTGAAAGAATAGGGAGAAAAAGTAGCTTCTGCCTCAGATCAAGCAGCTCCTGCTGCCCCCTGCTGACTGAGGACCAAGGTGAGCAAGAGCTCAGGAAGCCCGGTTTAGAGATGTGTGTAGATGCACACAGACTTAATTAGAGTGAACATTAAGTCTGATGAGGTAACTTCTGTCATCTTCACAAAAACATGAGGTGCTCAAAGCCATATAAATAAAGAATATTTCTGGAGAAGCAATCGTTGGTAGAGACCTGTTAAACAGAGCAGTGGAAAACAGACGAGACTCCTGTTCTGTCCAACAGTTAACAAAAAGTCTGCCATGTGGCAGCCACAGCTGGTGGAAGAGAAAGGACATTGGGGCCATTGATGCAGCAATAAAATGAAATTGCTCAAACGTTTTCCCTTCATTTGTCCTAGATTTTACAATTGCTTCCAGCACACCAGCAGAGGATACTTGTTATGAGCTGCTACCACAGCTCTCACCTGGTCCTCAACTAAGGATGCACCTGAAATGATATTTGCTGGAGACATGCTTAGAGGAAATACCACTGTGCTGTTTTGCTGATGTTATGCTTTCCTGAATAGCTGGTATTGACCACAGTCAGAAACAACAGACACCCCTGTGCAGAAATCTGGTCTGCCTCAATTATCACACTGCCAGACTTAGTAATGGGAAGGGAAAAAGCAGCAGCAAGATTATCTGCTAGTGATGACCAAAATGAAACATAGCTTGGACACCCCGTAACCACCTCTCCTACTTCACCTTGGCTATAATCTCCTCGGAGGAAACGATGGAACAAATGAAGGCTGTAGTTGGCTGTGCGCGGCACTCAGATATGGGACAGGTGCAGTTGACAACCATGTTCTGTTCAATGCGAGTCGTGAGGTACTCACTCCAACAGGGCTGTGAAGGCAGAAGAGGAGATCAGAGCTACACAGGAGCTGCACCACCTGGGTCATGTGACCCTCGAAGCCCACCCCACCCAGCAAAGGGAGCATGAAACCACCACAAACCATGGATAAATACTCAAAAACACAAAAATGGGAACAGACTAATCAGGAGCTGAAGGAGCACAACAAACAAGGGAGCTGAGAAAAGAGAATGTATGAGCTCTGTGAAAGTCACCTGATAACAGCTTCAGACAAAGCCAACCAACTGCCACCAGCTAGGCACCAGCAATTCCCTACCAAGTTACGGGAGCCAAAGACCGCAGGACCTTCACCTTGCAGCAGTAGTGCATACAGCAGAGGGTTGGTGGCGTCTCGGTAGGACACAGCTGGTTCACACAAACTGGGCAGTGGGTTCCTGGGCTCGGGGGGGGCTGGGCATCTTGCACTTGCAGCCCCGAGGAGATGAGCAGGGTCTCACGGTTCTCCACATAGCACTGGATCAGGAAATCCACATTCCACCTGCAGTGCATCAGGAGGTGCTGAGCAACATCATCCGGGATGCTCAGAGTATCCTGGACCTGCTGTACTGTCTGGTTCATGAGCAGCTTCGCCTCTTCTGGACTAAGTGTGTGCCCCATTGGCATCTGCAGCATTGCCATAAGAAACTCCTCCGACCTGCCTATGCCAGGATTCAACCTGACATATGGAGAACCGTGTCATGTCCATACAGGGTGGAGATGGAGATGCACACCCCTCCACACCTGGTGACATGCATTCCTACCGATACAGGCAGTCTATGCTGTCCTCATCCAGAGATGCTTCTGGTGGCTTGCTCTGGAAAACCATCTGTGCCTGGCCCCCAAGAGGTGTTGTGGGCTCAGCAGAGATGTATTCCAAGACATGAGGCCTCTCCTCCTGGCGCCGGACATAGCCCTGTTTCAGCAGTTGCAGGACGCAGGACAGCACGTCCACGCTGTGGCAGCAGAAGCTCAGGAACTGCAGCCCTGGCCCCAGCTCACCCTTCTGACAGGCATCAATCACCTACAGCAACAAGGGAGCCCCACACTGCAGTGCGGCGCAGCACCCAGGCGGCCCCTCTCCACCCGCTCAAGCACTCCATACCCTAAACACCAGGTTGTCAATGTGAAGCTGCTTCTCCACCTTGAGGATGCGGGTGATGAGGCAGCAGAGGA